TAGTAGGTTTTTAAAACAGGCTCTTGGCATCATTGGTGTTTATATTTCACCCCACCCCCACCAAATTCATTAGTATTGCTCTTATTATAATTTATTTTCTTTTACTTTCTCCAAGTAATACTTAATATATGCAATTCATATGTTTTAATATGAAATATTTTCCTTTTCCATTATTGTGTTTTAAAATTTCTATGATGGATAAATTCAAGAGATCTATTGTACAGCATGGTTAATATCATTAATAATGATGTATTATATATTAAACATTGCTAAGAGAGTAGATTTTAAGTGTTCTCACCAAAAAAAAAAGAAAAGGAATTATGTGAGGTAATGAATACATTAATTGGCTTGATTTAGCCATTCCACAGCATATACATATTTCAAAATATCATCTGGTATACCATAAATATATGAAATTTGTATCCATCAACCTAAGAAATAAACAAAACCAAAAATATTAAAAAGTTTTTTAAAAATTTGGTTTTGAATCCATTTATAAGAGTATAAAGACATGAAAAAAGGATAGGTTCATTTAGCAAGATCAAGAAATATGGGTTATCTTTTTAAATTAGAAATAAACAAAGGCAGAGTGGTAAATAAGTAAATAATTTTCCAGATGATATGCTTGATCCATAACCTATTTAGAAGTATATTTTTAAATGTCTAAATGTGTCATGATTTGTTATTTTTGCTGTTATTCTTTGTGATCCAGTGGATGTGATCTTTATGATATCAGTGTCTAATGTCCTAAAGGATATTAAATTTTATAAATGTTTCATGCATGCAGCACTCTATATATGTCAAGCTTTTAATTGGTATGTGTTTATATTTTTATTAATCTTTGTTAATATTTATGTTACATACATAAGTTTCTGAGAGTTGTGTTAGGTCTATCACTATGATTGTATATTTGTCTATTTCTTTTTGAAAATCTACTAGTATTTTTCCTCATTGATTTTTGAAGCTGTTTTACTTTGTGTACACATGAGTAGTTATAGCATGATGCTTGTTTTCTCAATCCTCCATATAGTGACCTTCTTTTCTTAATATTAATGTTGCTTTAAGGGCAATTTTGTTTTATGCAGAAACTGATAAAAGGAAAGTACATCAGTTTCATTTTGAGCAGTATTGCCTAGTGTATCATTCTTATTATTTTCAACTTTTCTATGTGCTAAAGTTCCTGACATACCTCCTATAGCTGTATACCATAAGTTATCTTTTTGAATCCAATCTGACAATTTCTGTTATGTACGTGGAGAATTTAATCCATTTACATTTGTTATGAGTAATGGTATATCTGAATTTATATCTGTCATCACATTTTAATTTTAAAAATCATTATAAAATAACTATGAAAGTATATGCTTCAAAGCATTATAATAAAATGAATTTCATTAATCTATCACCAAGTTAATTAGAACATTACTAACAACATTACATCTGTGTGCTCCTCCCCATCTTACATCCCTGCCTAGATTATATACCAAAGATAATTACTGTCTAGAATTAGAATTTCATTGATTTTAAAAAGTCAGTCCTTATCAAAGTATGTATCTCCAAAATAGGTATTTAGTTTTTATTTGTTAGTTCTACTTGCTTTTGAGCCTCAAAGATGGTGTTACATTGCATCACCTAGTAGAACATGTTTTTTATACCCTTATTATTTTTTAGGTCCATCTACGTTGTCATTTATAATTCCTTGATTTTATTATTAGATTATAGCCAACTTGACTCATTTTCTTATTGAAGAATATTCCTTCCACCTCCTATAACTCCCCCCTTATCCTTTTGCTATTCCAAATAATGTTGCTATGAATGATAGTTTTCCTGTTTATTGATGCAAACTGTCTCTAGGGTATATCTCTAGGAGTGGAACTGCTGGGTAGCAAGATGTGCAAATGTTTAATTTTACACAATGATGCCAAATTGCTTGCAAAATGGTTGTTTAAAAACCCCAACATTTTAGGCTTGCGCTGATCTGCATATATATGTATACCTGTTATTAAGAAGGTTTTTGTCAATAGAGAAAGAATAAAATGCTATCTCATGGCAAACTGAGAAATAGTACATAGACTCTCAGCATGTCCAAGTACAGCTTTTGTTTAAGGGTCTCAGCTTTTCCATACCTTTGCCGACTCTCAAATAATTGCTGTGTTGCATTGTGAAAGTAACACAAGGAATATGCATTAATAAATACTCAAGGCAGAGGACATTAGTTCCTCAATGAGACAGACTTATTTTTAAACCCTGTGCCCCATCCATCTATCTATCTTTCTATCATCTAGCTGTCAATCTATCATCTACCTATCTTAAAGTTAGAAATTAGAATTGAGACGATTGTCATGGGGACATGCATGAACCCATTTGTTTCAACAGAAAAAGACAACCAGATGTTTCTGACAAAAGATAACTCTGTTTTAGCTGATTGTTTTGACAGTGAAAACTGCTTTTATCAATCAGATTTTACAACAGTTAGATTCTATGCATGAAATAAGTTGCATTGTACCCCAAATGCATACACACACATGCACACACACTCGCACATAGCATTTGATACAAACAATTGATTAAATGTAATATGCTGTCAGAGATAATGTGAAATTAACATTTCTACTTTCTTATCCTTCTAAGTAAAAGAGTAACAGGTATAATTACCAGGTTGTTGTTTTTGGTTTTTGGTTTTGTTCTGTTTCAGCCTTAATAATGCCTTTTTTGGATACTTTCCAAAAAACTTGAGAGTGGTTTGGAAAGCATGAGGATAATGAAAATGAGAGGATAATGAACTCTTTTTCAAGTTAGGTAGATTCTAATTTTTGGCTTTCAAGAAACTGAACAAGGGCATAATTCAGCTGTCACCCTGAAAAAATCATTACATATGATTTTTCATAATAAACAATTATGGTTTTTGGTTCACTTAACCCAATGATCTTTTTAATAACAAAAATTATTTATATGAATGAAGACTGCAACCACTCTGCCAACTTGACTCTATCAATAAATATTATTTCTACGTGAATACATAATATAATTGGATAAATAGCTAAATCCATCTTACTATGAGCTATTTCCAATAAAATCCTATTTTTTATGAATTTTTATTGAAAATAATTTATGTTGTTTTGAGCACCTGTGTACTAAAATAATATAATGATAACTCAGGAGGAAAATTTAACTTAATGACTATGATCACAGAAAATTAAAACAATTAAAAATTCAATATAGATACATATCTTAGTTATAATGTAGGACAGAGTACTCAAAGACTGTCAAGGATAAAATATTGATTAGCATGCTATACAGTAGGAGAAATAATTTGAAAATACAGTTCAAAAAGGAAAATGAAATCATGTAAAATTCTCCATTATCTACATTTTTATGTCATTTTTAAACAGATGATGGCAGATATCTGAACACTGTGGTCTGCGCTCATAAGATACACTCAAAGTTGATGAAAAAGTGTCATTTTGAAATGTAAATATGCAAAATGTACCATAAAATCACATCTTTTGGAACTATTTAAATCTTCAAAGAAAAATTTTAGAACCTAAAAATGCGCAAGGTAACAATACAGTTTTTATAAACTCATTTATGGAGCACCTGAGTAAAAATGTTCATAGACTGTTGAACTAGAAGACTTGCTTAAATCTGCATTTGCACAGCAAAAACACAATTTCTACTTGGATTTTATGTTTTTCTGGGGTAACATGAGAACTGAGGTGACTGATAGAGATTACGGGTGGCTACTTTGATTATATCTTGATGTTATTATTTAATACATCTACAGGCTTGCTATTTATAAGTCCTGCACATCAGAAAAGTAGCTTCAATACTTAAGTGTAAATAAATAAGAAAGTAATATGAAACAGCTATCATTTATTGAATATTTCTTTAATACCTAAAACTTCCCTGTTAAGTAGGTATTACTAATGCCCATTGGCAGATGAGAAAGGTGAGGTCTTAACCAGGATCATAGATACAGGTCATAGAACAGCAGGCCAAACCAGTACTACAGCATATATCTACCTCAATTTTCTCATCTTAAAATGTGGATAATAATTCTGACTTCATAATTAATCCTTGAATATATTTGTATTGTAAAAGTAAATAAAATTATAAAGATTTCTGGGCAGAAAGTAGAAAGCTATATGTAATCATTTAGAAATATCGATACCTCTGTTAACATACAAATACACACTGGGAAAATAACACAGTTTTTATAACACACTCCCAAATATAATCTGAGCTTTGTTTCATCACTCAGCAATGTGATAGAAACTATTGCTTCACCAGATACTTAATGTAACCCCTAAGGTAATTCAGTTAGTTTAAATTTTGAATCCGATTTTTTTTTTTCTGAGATGAAGTCTCACTTTGTTGCCCAGGCTGGAGTGCAGTGGCATGATCTCAACTCACTGCAGCCTCTGCCTCCCAAGTTCAAGTGATTCTCCTGCCTCAGCCTCCTGAGTAGCTGGGATTATAGGCAAGTGCTACCACGCCCAGCTAATTTCTGTATTTTTAATGGAGACAGGGTTTTACCATGTTGGCCACGCTGGTCTTGAACTCCTGACCTCAGGTGATTCGTTTGCTTTGGCCTCCCAAAGTGCTGGGGTTAAGGTGTGAACCACGGGACCCAGCCTTGAATCTGAAGTTTAAAGCTTCAGTAAAAGCAAGGCATCTGTGTGTCCATCAAGAGTTATTGGTTGCGGGGGGTGTCAAGCGTAAAGCTTGGAGCGAACGGGGATCACGAGTCAGGAGATCGAAATCTGGCTAACGGTGAACCGTCTATACAAAATACAAAAAACTAGGGGGGGGGGGGCGTAGCCAGTATCAGGGGGAGGAGAAGGCGGAACGGGGCAAGCTGCGTGAGCTGAGATCGGCCTGCACTCCAGCTGGCGAGAGCGGACTCATTCAAAAAAAAAAAAAAAAAAAAAAAAAAGAGTTATTTGGTTGCACTAAATCTCTACATAGATTATTTAATATTGCCTAGTCATTCAACTTACTTCTTGGGTAGCTTCATTTTTTTCACCTTGTCTTCAGCATGTTCATCTGATATACCCACATGACATCCTAATGCCAACAAAGTCCTGGAAAACAAAACCAGAGATAAGTGTGATCATTTCTTCTCTATGTCCAGAATAACCCAACGCGACAGCAGTAGCAATGAGATGCAAGCTTGAAAGCGCAGCAGAAGTCTTGTTTTTAAGGCAGAAGGAACATTTATTGATTTGCTAATTATTCATTTCTGAGTAAGGGATAAGACACTGCAAACTGAAACGGCACAAAAAGGAATACACTGAAAAGTAAGTCTTCCTCCAGCCTCTTCTAGTTCTGTTTCCTTCCTCTGAAGGCATCAATTGTTACCAATTCTTCGATATCCTGCTGCGGAGTCTATGTACATACTAAAGCAGATATACGTTGTGTGTGTGTGTGTGTGTGTGTGTGTGTGTGTGTGTGTATTATTGTTTTACCTTTTATAGAAATGGGTATACACAGGAGACATTTTGAGACCATTTGTCTTTAGTACCCATGGCACTGAGTGGTTTCTCCTGCCTCAATAGAGTAAGAAATAATGGCATAATATTTTGGAATTACAGAATTTCTAAGGTCTGGCCAGTTCCAGTAAGAATGTGGGAATTATCTACAACCCATAATACTTATCTCTATAATATTATAATAATGTGTGGATAGGTTGATGGTTATGCATATATACATATATGTACATTATATATATGTATTTCCATATAGACAGGTATCTATATGTATAAGCTTAACCATTTAGACAGATGATATATATAAGCTTATACATATGGATATCTATCCATCTATATACACACAAGTATCAGTTAAATGTTGTTATATATGAAAAAATTAAAACAACCCCATGAAATTATCTTTCTAGTGTTAAACTGCAAAACTGTGGGTAGACGAAGAGCTGATTGAAGGTATAAAATAAGCTAAATAAATAATGTGCACGTTGAAATGGGATTGATCAGCAATAGAATAAAAACCAAACTCACAGGAACAAATACAGATTACACTTATTCAAACACTATCCAGAGGACAGGAAAGTTTTTACCAGCACCCTCCATTCCTATATTTATTCATTCAATAAATACCTACTGAGTGCTATCAAGTGCCAGGCCCTATGCTACAGACAAAAAGCAATTATGATAGTATCTTCAGTGCAGTGAGATAATCATAAGGCTATAAAAGTATCAAAGAGGGATGTCCAACCCAGCTCTAAGGGAACTTGAGACTGATCATAATATTAGGATTTATCATAAACTCAGGCAATTAAACCTTTGAGCACATGCCCACCAAGAAATCTTCTGATTATAATGTGTCTTCCAAAGCTGATCTGTAAAAATGGAATATTTTGGGTTATAAGACAGTTATTATCACTGCAAATTAATACCTCAGTATGACATGCCAGGAATGCAGTTAATGTAAGTCCAGACTGAGAGACAAAGTAACATGGTATACTGACATCAAAAGTAGGCCTGAGCCATAGAAAATGTAATTAGTTAATATCATCCTTAAGGGTTTCTGAGAGACAGTGTTTTATGCCATCAATACTATAATCTTCTCATAACTAATTAATTCAGCCTCATAATCTCCTCCCCAATGCAAACTACCTAGAAAAGTATGAATTCAACTCACATGGACAGTGAACTATTATATAGACCATATGTGCATAAATATATAAGTCCATAAATATTTACTAAGTTACCACCATATCTAAGGTGACCTGTAGTACAGTAGTCCTCCCTTATCCATGGCTGATATGTTCCAGGACCCCCAGTGGATGCCTGAAACCACAGATAGTACCAAACCCTATACTTTTTCCTATCCATACATACTATGATACATACTAAAACTTAACATATAAATTAGACATAGTAAGGGATTCAAAACAGTAGCTAATAGAAAATAGAACGATTATAACAATATACTGCTCACAATTTCACAGACACAAGAATTGTTTTTGTAGATCTTAGCAACTTCAGTATACAGTATTTTTCTTCCCTTATTAATTATTAATTATAAATATTATTGAGAATATTCATCTTTTCACTTAAAAGAAGCACTTTATGGCTTCTCTTTGACATATTCAAATTGCCAGCATCTTTAACTTTGTGTTTTGGGGTCATTATTAAGTAAAATTTTGTTACTTGAACAAAAGCCCTACAGTGTCATGACAATCAATCTGATAACCAAGACTGTTGCTAAGTGACTAACAGGTAGGCAGCCTACACAGCATGGGCCAGGGGGACAAAGGGATGATCTGCATCCTGGGCAGGACAAGGCAGCAGGGCGTGAGACTTCATCACACTGCTCAAAATGGCATGCAATCTAAAGCTTAGACATGGCTTATTTCCTAAGTTTTCCATTTGATATTTTCAGGGGTACTACTCTACGTGTTTGTCTTGACACCGTTTACAGTCTGATAGGAGAAAAGATGATGAGTGAAGAATTATAATAAAACCAAGTAGGATTCCAAGTTTTAAAAAGTTACATTTTCAGAAGTATCTTTAAGATATTCCAAGAAAGATCATTAAAAATTTCCATGATGATGATATGTAGGAATAACGGATAAAGAGATGAGGAGGCAAATACTTCAGGTAGGTGGACAAGACAGACAACCTACAGAAGGAGGAGATCGTGGGCCTGTGTGTGGGGGCGGGCAGAGAAAAGTTGACTGGAGTACTAAGATCTGACCGTGTACTACAGGTTAAGGGTAAAAAGAATACTGGGGTAAGTTTGAGGTGCACTATATGCTTCATAAATATTTCTCATTATGTGTGATGGCTAATTTTATGTATCAACTTGGCTGGGGCATCGTGCCAAAATAGTTAGTCAAACATTATTCCAGATGTTTCTGTGAAGGCTTTTTTGGATGAGATTAACATTTAAGCTGGTACACTTTAAGTTCACACGGAGCCAAAAAAGAGCCTGAATAGCCAAAGCAATCCTAAGCAAAAAGAACAAATCCAGAGGCATCACATTCCCTGACTAATATATAAGGATATAGTAACTATCACAGCATGGTAATGGTACAAAATTAGACACATAGATCAGTGGAAAGGAATACAGAACCCAAAAATAAAGCCACATACCTACAACCAACTGATCTTTGACACAGTTAACAAACATACACACTGGAAAAAGGACAACCTCTTCAATAAATGGTGCTAAAAAAAATGGCTAGCCATATGTAGAAGAATGAAATTGCACCTCTCTCACCATGTACAAAAATTAACTCAAGATGGATTAAAGATGTAAATGTAAGACCTAGAAGAAAACCCAGAAAAAATTCTTCTGGACATTGGCCTAGACAGAGTTTATAATGAAGATCCCAAAAGCAAATGCATCAAAAACAAAAATAGACAAATGGGACTTAATTAAACTAAAAAGCATCTGCACACCAAAATAATATACAGAGTAAATAGACAACCTACAGAATAGGAGAAAATATCTGCAAATTATGCTCCCAACAAAGGACTAACATCCAGAATCCACACAGAACTTAAACAACTCAACAAGAAAAAACAAACAACTGTATTAAAAACTGGCCAAAGGGTCAAGCATGGTAGTTCACGTCTATAATTCCAGTACTTTGGGAGGCCAAGGCAGGAGGACTGCTTGAGCCCAGGAGCTCAAGGTCAGTCTGGGTAACATAGAGAGACTCCGTCTTGACACATAATTCAAATTTTAACCAGGCATGGTGGCACACATCTGTGGCCCCAGCTACTCTAAAGGCTGAGGCAGAAATTTTGCCTGAGTCTGGGAAATCAAGGCTGCAATGAGCTATGATCACACCACTGCACTCCAGCCTGGGCTACAGAGTGAGACTCTTGTCTCAAAAAAAAACAAAAACCAAAAAAAAAAAACAAGACAAAGGACATAAACAGACATTTCTCAAAAGAAGAAATACAAGCAGCCAATAAACATATTAAAAAATGCTCTGAATTACTAAGCATCAGAAAAATGCAAACTAAAACAACAATGAGATACCATCGCACACCAGTCAGAATGGTTATCATTAAAAAGTCAAAAAATAAGAGATACACTGTTAGTAGGAACATAAATTAGTTCAACTCCTGTGGGAAACAGCATGAATATTTCTCCAAAAACTAAAAATAGAGATACCATTCAGCCCAGCGATCCCACTACTGGGTACCTACCCAAAGGAAAAGAAATCATTCTATTTTTTATTTGATTTTATTTATTTATTTATTTATTTATTTATTTATTTATTTAGAGAAGAATTTTGCTCTTGTCACCCAAGCTGGAGTGCAATGATGTGATCTCGGCTCACTGCAACCTCCACCTCCCAGGTTCAAGCGATTCTCCTGCTCCAGCCTCTCAAGTAGCTGGGATTGCAGGTGCCCACCGCCATGCCCAGCTAATTTTTGTATTTTTAGTAGAGATTGGGTTTCACCATGTTGGCCAGGCTGGTCTCGAACTCCTGACCTCAGGTCATTCACCCGCCTTGGCCTCCCACAGTACTGGGATTACAGGTGTGAGCCACCACGCCTGTCCAAGACATCATTATCAGGTCAGGCATTGAGACTAGCTTGGCCAACATGGTAAAACCCCGTTTCTGGTAAAACTACAAAAATTAGCTGGGCATGGTGATGGGCACCTGTAATCCCAGCTACTCAGGAGGCTGTGGCAGGAGAATTGCTTGAACCTGGGAGGTGAGTTTGCAGTGAGCTGAGATCATACCACTGCACTCCAACCTGGGCGACAGAGCAAGACTCTGTCTCAAAAAAAAAAAAAAACCCCAAAAAACAACAACAACAAAACAACTGTACTCACATGTTCATCGCAGCACTATTTACAATAGCAAAGTCACGGACTAAGCTTAAGTATCTGTCAGCTGTTGACTACAAAAAGAAAATATGGTACATATACACCATGGAAGACTATGCAGCCATGACAATGAATGAATTTTCATGTCCTTCTTGCAGCAACATGGATAAAGCTGGAGGCCATTATCCTCATGATTTAATAGAAAATTAAATCTTATAAACAGAAAATTACTCTCATTTATAAGTGGGGGCCAAGCAAAGTGGATACA